CTGAGGTGTTATGTTGTTGTTGCTGAGGTGTTGTATTGTTGTAGTTGTTGTGGTGTTGTATTGTCGTTGTTGTGGTGTTGTATTGTTGTTGTGGTGTTGTGTTGTTGTTGTTGATGTTGTTGTTAATGTTGTGTTATCTTATTATCGTGCAGGTTCTGGTCCTGATGAGGCTGTGGATGTGAAACCATCTGCTCGGATCAACCGGCACTCAGTTTTCTGGATCCTGGCGTCTGTCTCTCTCACCTACTATCTGGATTTCTTCTCTGTCCTTCTGAATCACAGTGACATTCACAGGTGACTACTAACCTTGACCATAACTAGCACTGTGAGTCACTGCTCAGACTCACAGACAGCAGTTGTTACTGACGGGTGTGTGTGTGTGTGTGTGTGTGTGTGTGTGTGTGTGTGTGTGTGTCTCTCCTCCTCCCAGACTCACTCACTGATCCGGAGAGAAAGAGTAGGAGATGGCAGGAGAGAGAGACGGAGAGAATGCGACAGGAAGAGGAAGAGGAAGAGTAGAGAGAGAAGAGGTTCACAGGTGAGACAGGATGGCAATTATCAATTGTGTGAGTGAAGGATGTGCAGGTGTGTGTGTGAGTGTGTGTGTGTGTGAGTTTGTGTGTGTGCTGAGGTGTGTGAGTTTGTGTGTGTGCTGAGGTGTGAGTGTGTGTGTGTGTGCTGAGGTGTGTGTGTGAGTGAGTGTGTGTGAGTGAGTGTGTGTGTGTGGGTGTGTGTGTGTGCTAAGGTGTTTGAGTGTGTGTGTGTGTGTGCTGAGGTGTGTGTGTGTGGTCAGATTGCAGTGCTAACCGTATCACAGCTCCTCGGTCTCAAACAGCTGAAACACTCTCTCTCTCATATGTTCTTTTCTTCTTATCCTGGATTACAATAAAGATTATAGAGCTCTGGTTACGAGGAGAGAACCTACACGCTAACAACACGCAATACATACACACACACACACACACACACACACACACACGCCTTCACAGTTAAACAATGAAACTCCATGAACTCTATTCAACTCTTCAGCAACTCGCCTCTCTGTAGAAGTTACTCTGTAGCGTCTGGTGTGGATTCATGAAAATCTTCTTAAGGAAGATTACATTTCTTAAGATGGCTTTTAAGAAAATTGTACGATTGTTCAGAAGTGAAGTTCTTAAAAAAAAAAAAAAAAAAAAAAACCTTAAGAAGTGAAAATGTTTTTAGAAGAATTTTAAACAGAAATGAAATAAATAAAAATAAAAACAGTTCTAAAATTCTAAAAAAGAATTGTTTACATTGTCGATCATTGGTGTGATGATGTCACTTGTGCGCGTCTCTAGTTATAATCATGGGTATTATATGTAGCTAGAGTCCTGTTGTGATGTTTATTATTTGAAACAATTCAATAAATTAATTTTATTAAGAATTTTTGGTGATTTAAGACAAGCTGGTTATTTACGATAATTTTAAAGAACATTATATTCAGGAATTCAGTTTGCTCGTATGTTTTGTTTTAAGAAAAAAGACAAGCACATTCTTAAGAATTGTTTTTGGGAATAGAGATTATTCTTAATAGGGATGCATGATATATCGGCCACCATATCGGTATCGGCCGATAAATGCTCATTGCAGCTCAAACGGCTGCTATTTAAAACAGTGGTATTAATTTGTTACTTTTTCAAAATCATTGATACATTATTAATAATAACAACCACTTTTATTTTTCTCTTATTATTTTCATCAACAATATGGTTTAGTAATTAAAATCATTTAATTATTGTCCGTGCAGAGGCTATTCCGTTTTATTGATCTATGGTGCATTCATTTTGATTCTTTACACGTGTAATGATGTCCAGTGACTTGGCATTATTTATGCATTATTTAATTATTTGTAAGACTTTTTTATGACTAAATTTGGTAATGGGAGAGTAAAATTATTTTTAAAACGTACACCGTTCAAACTAGGCTGCTTATGTTGAAGTGTTTGGGATGTGGGTTTTAATGATGAGACCTTTTTTGTAATCAGGCTCTCAAAAAGTGTATAAAAATGTGGATATAGATTTATCGGCCAACATATCGGTTATCGGCTTTCACAAATAAAGAATTATCAGTTATCGGTATCGGCCAAAATGTTCATATCGGTGCATCCCTAATTCTTAATTGTTAAATGTGAAGAAAACAGTGTGTATTTTTAAGAATATATTGTGAATTCATCTCCTGGTCTTTCATTTGAGTCACTAGCAGTGGAGTATAATTGAGATGCTTTTTATAGAATTTATTAATGAGTTTTAATTGTTATATTTTAAGTTTTCATTTAAATTTTAATTAAAGTTTTAGTTGTTTTTGTCATTTTAATGTTGTCTTTTTTTTTAAACGTCTGTATAGTTTCATTCATTTTATTTCTGGTTTTAATTTGACTTGTTTTAGTTCATCAAGTTAAACTAAATGAAAATGACAAATGTTGCCTTGACAAAATAATTATTTTTGTATTTAATTTAGTTGTAACTAGCGTTCTGGCTCAGGTGTTGTTCAGAGGTGTCTGACAGCTGGTTTTGTGCTTCAGCTGGTGGTTTAGCGTGGCTCTGGTTCTGCTGGCGCTGTGTGTGTCTCTGGCGTTGTTCTGTATGGTGTATCTGGAGTGGTTCAGAGGAATCCAGCAGTATGATCAGGAGTATCCAGCCGTCCCCGCCGTCTCCACCGCAGCCTTCATCGCCGCCTCCTGCAGGTCTGAACTCCATGACCCATGACCATTACTGCTCTGCATTATTTTAAGACAATTCAACACAGTTCTCCCTGAATCTCATTACTGATATTTCATTTAGAGTTTTTTTGTCGGTTCACATTGTTTCATGACACTTTTAATAGGAAGCTATTCTGAGCACGAGCTAGTGTACATCATTCAGATTCACTCTTCACAAAAACAGTTTATTTCTTTATATGTAAATTAGCTCTAAAGTACTGAAAGCACATTTAATGTTTTAATATGTTGCAATTCTAATCATGCATAATCATGTTCTCATATTACAGTGATTATATTTTGTTTGCCATGAAATCAGGTTAAAATGCAATGAATGGTCCTTAAATAGGCACGTTTTGTCATTTTTAGTAGTTTTAGGTTTTTTTTTGTGAAGATGAGAAATGTTGCCTTGATGACTACTAGTAGAAATAAATTTTATTTTATATTTTTACAAGTAATGAAAATGTATTTTTAAATGGTTTTAGTTAGCTGTAATAATAACCCTGCTATGAGAGTGTTCAGATAGATGATTTAATAAGCGTCTCGTTTAAACACATTCATATCTTGATTCAGTGAGTCATTGATGAGTCTGCGTATGGCATCTGACATGTAAAAATAAACCCACTAAATATTGTTTGGTTTACTGCATATAAATGAAAATGATTAAATTTAATTCTTCTTTGTGTTAATTTAGTATAAAAAAATATTTTGATTATTTAGACTAGATTTTAACTGTTAATTCTTGCATTTGACATTTGGAAACTGTTTGGTCAGTGTTTTTGTCATCGATGCTGATTACGCTGGTGTTGTGTGTGTTTCAGCTTGAACATCGCTCTGTGGCCCGTCTGGTCGTTCTTCACTCCAGTGATTCTGTTCACTCAGTTCATGGGTGTGGTGATGCTGATCTCACTGCTGGGCTGAAACACACGGTGTGTGAGTGTGTCTGTGTGAAGTGTGTGTGTGTGAGTGTGCGTGAGTGTGTGTGTGTGCGTGAGTGTGTGCGTGAGTGTGTGTGTGTCTGTGTGTGAGTGTGTGTGTGTGTGAGTGTGTGTGTGTGTGAGTGTGTGTGTGTGTGAGTGTGTGTGTGTGTGAGTGTGTGTGTGTGTGAGTGTGTGTGTGTGTGAGTGTGTGTGTGTGTGAGTGTGTGTGTGTGTGAGTGTGTGTGTGTGTGAGTGTGTGTGTGTGTGAGTGTGTGTGTGTGTGAGTGTGTGTGTGTGTGAGTGTGTGTGTGTGTGAGTGTGTGTGTGTGTGAGTGTGTGTGTGTGTGAGTGTGTGTGTGTGTGAGTGTGTGTGTGTGTGAGTGTGTGTGTGTGTGAGTGTGTGTGTGTGTGAGTGTGTGTGTGTGTGAGTGTGTGTGTGTGTGAGTGTGTGTGTGTGTGAGTGTGTGTGTGTGTGAGTGTGTGTGTGTGTGAGTGTGTGTGTGTGTGAGTGTGTGTGTGTGTGAGTGTGTGTGTGTGTGAGTGTGTGTGTGTGTGAGTGTGTGTGTGTGTGAGTGTGTGTGTGTGTGAGTGTGTGTGTGTGTGAGTGTGTGTGTGTGTGAGTGTGTGTGTGTGTGAGTGTGTGTGTGTGTGAGTGTGTGTGTGTGTGAGTGTGTGTGTGTGTGAGTGTGTGTGTGTGTGAGTGTGTGTGTGTGTGAGTGTGTGTGTGTGTGAGTGTGTGTGTGTGTGAGTGTGTGTGTGTGTGAGTGTGTGTGTGTGTGTGTGTCTGTCTGTGAAGTGTGTGCGAGTGTGCGAGTGCGCGAGTGTGCGCGTGTGTGTGTGTGTGTGTTAAACACATCAGTTCTGATCAACAGCAGCTCACTGAATTATGACTGGAGTCTCCGTGTGTCTGTAACGAAGCCGACGGCGACAGATAGAGAGGTCAGTTGATCAGTCTCTGACCTCTGCTTTATTCCAGTGCCGAGGACTCGCTTTAATGAACAATGAGACATTCAGCAGCATCAGACGTCTCCGATCAACAGTTGCTCATATTTTGTTTTAGGGTTTCCTGAACATCAGCCCGACGGAGGAGAACGAGAGGTTTTCTTTGAGGTCCTGTAGACTGCTGATTGCAGTGTTTTCTAAAAATGCAAATTGCTTTACTTTTACTTATTGCTTCCAAACACACCGTTTTAAACGGTTCACTAAAGATACTTGGCGCTTGTGTTGTACACCCTGTTCTAATGTTCGTCTGTAACTAACCAAATACATGAACTGATGAAATAAAGACATTTGTATTACATGACATTTTCTATCTGTCTGTTTTTTGAGGTGCTCATAACGGAGTCAAAATTCACGTTTCAGGTGTGAACTGAGGTTGTAGAAGAGAACATTGACGTACCTTCAAGTAATGTGAACCACAGAGAGGATTTCACTCAAATAGTTCCTGAAGAAAAGCCATGGCGCTTTAGCCCTCAGGTTTGTCTGTGAGTTGATATAATAATTGCACCGCAGTATTTCAGGTGTTAATGTCTTTGGTGGATCTGTCAGGTGTTCTCCCAGCGTCTGCAGCTGGATGATGTTTCAGTGATGCATTTGTGAGCTCAGATTTTTTGGTTGTTTGCTCATCTGCAATACGTCTATAGGATGTTTCCTCTCAGATGTCAAATAGACGTTTAGAAGACGTCTTTAAGATGTTTATGATTTAGAATGAATGTAAAACTGACATCTCAAAGACGTCTATCAGATGTTTGTACACAGCAGATGCTTTCCTGATGAAGAGATCTTTAATAGATAACTTGCAGACGTACGTGTGCTATTTGGTTACAGCGAAACAGTGCTACCCAAATGGCTTTAGAAGACGTCTTTAAGATGTTTATGATTTAGAATGAATGTAAAACTGACATCTCAGAGACGTTTATCAGATGTTTGCACACAGCAGATGCTTTCCAGATGAAGAGATCTTTAACAGACGTACCTGTGCTCTCTGGGTTGCAGGTAAGTGTTTCTGACATACACTGAGCACTTCTGATTAATTGTGAATCTTTGACTTTGAAACTTATAAAGTGAGTAAAATATGTAAGATCGCTGTTCTTGATTTGAAATGACTGACTGAGTGGAGTTATCACATGAAAACATTAGCATTAAGGTGTTTATGAAACTAGCGAGTGTCTGAGGTGCAGTCGTGTGAACATAGTGCATCTCACTAATTGTAACAATTACAAAGAAAGGGCATGTGACACATTAGATTAAACATGACGTTTTGACATTTTTTCAAATAAATAACGGCGGTTACTTTGTTCCTTGTGTACTGACTGACAGCTGTCCTGTGCTCATGAGAGAATCAGGAGTGAGTGCAGTTGTGTGTGAACATGATGCTTCTGTAGAGCATTCACTCATCTCACTGCACAAAAACACATTCAGTGTTCCTCAAAATGAATGCAAACTCAGAATGACGCAAACCTGCAATAATTAAATATCCTTTATGTATTTAAGCTCATTTTATTAACCAGTGTCTTTGCTGCTGACCTTCCATGATCCAATTCAACCATACTAATAAGCAAAAATTACTTTAGATAAACATAACATTTGTGTTTCCTTTTTTTATTGCTGAAAAGAGAAAAACGAGCCCAGCACAGATGAGAAAAAGTAATGCAAAAGTAACGTAACGCATTACTTTCCATAACGCAATTAGTTACTTTTTCAGGGAGTGGCGCAATATTGTAATGCATTACTTTTAAAAGTAACGTTCCCCAACACTTATTTACAGTCTCATTGCACGCGCCTGCGCTGCTTGATCAAACCGCTCGCTGATGACATTACGAGAGAATGGCTCTGTGATGATGATGATGGTGATGAGCGCGTGATCGCATCTGTCAGACTTCATCAAAGCTCTCCGGAGTCGATCAGCGGAACCAGCGTTTGATCCGGATCATGACGGAGCCCAGCTCCAGTGCGGATGACTCGAGGCTGATGCGGGTGGTTTGTGCGCAGGTCAGAGCCGTTATAATAGAAGCTCTTTTGTTGGAGCTCTCTGGCCCGGATCGGTTTCATCTAATTGTGGGTCCCTCTGTAATCGAGCACACCGTCAATTTCGGTTTCTTCTCGTAAACTTTTCTTCAAGCGCTTCAACAGAAGAGGCTGCGTCTGATTTCAGCCGCGTTTCGCAATCCGTCTTTAATTCCGCACGCAGATTTCACGCTGAACACATTCTTCTGATTGGGCATCCGTTATGCGAGTCTGCGGTCAACAAAGGGCCGTCCGTAAAGAAAGAGCCTTTGACCAGTGAAACCCGAGAGCCTGAAGCTCACTGCAGCTTCGCATCTGACCGCGGCGTGAGGAGGAACGACTAGAAGCGTGGAGACGCGGTGAGGAGCGCGCGCGTGTTTCTCAGGATTCTTGGCACCGTCGCTTTTCCAGGAGCTCGCAGATGAACGAAACTCGATCCGTGATAATCTGCTGCGCTTTGTAGGAGGTATATAGCGGCGATGTCCGCGGCTCCCTGACGGCGTTCATCCGGAGCCGCTGCTGCTGATCGACGGCACCATGGTGGAGCACAGCGGCCTGGACATCATGTGTCTGAACAAGTACAGCCCCGCTTCCTCCTCCTCATCATCCTCGAACGCGGAGAAGAAACTTTTCTCCAAGCTCAAGGTGAGTCTGACCAAGAAGTACCCGCAGAAGAACGCGGAGACGCTGAGCGCGCAGTACGGAACCAACCTGCTGCTGATCGGTGTGTCGGTGATGCTCGCGCTGGCGCAGCACGGTCCCGCGGTGAAGAAGGAGCACCTGCTGGCCTTCATCACGGCGCTGATGCTGGTGCAGCTCGTGTGGATGCTCTGCTACATGATCCGGAGGGCGCGGGAGCGCAGCGCGGCGCCGGAGAGGGACGCGCACGCCGGCACCAGCTGGATCCGAGGTGAACGCAGCGCATTTGCTCCCGAACGCCATGCTGTGTGAGCGTGAGAGTGAATGATTGTGCTGTGTGTTCAGGAGGGCTGACGATGCTGGCGTTGCTGTCGCTCATCATGGACGCGTTCCGCATCGGCTACTTCGTCGGATATCATTCCTGCGTCTCCGCCGTGCTCGGAGTCTATCCCATCGTGCACGCGCTGCACACCATATCTCAGGTGAGAGCGCGCATCTGGCACGCGCCCGGTGTCAGGGCACGTTTATTTCGAGATACGGATTGTTTCGAAACAGCTTCACCGGATAACAGGGAACCAAAACAAAGTAACGTTAATAGAACGTTCGTTCAAAAATACCGGCTCTTTAATAATGTTAAAACTCAAAACCATTCACGGAGCGTTCTCTACCATTTTTTAAATGTTGCTACTTGTTTCAGAACGTTCAGAGAACAAACAAAAGTAACACTCCCTTTAACATTAATTTAACCAAGAAAAAAAAGTTTTAAAAGCATTTTAAAAACTGGACTTTAAGAGAACATTAAACAAATTCAGTTCCAGCTGTAACGCAGCTCTACAGCAGACAAGCGTGTGATTATTCAGATCAGATCCGTTCTGAAGGGAACCATGTGTTTGCTCTTGATTGCAGGTGCATTTCCTCTGGTTCCACATCAAAGATGTCATCAAGAAATATGAAACGTTTGAAAGGTACAGACATGCTTCTTTCTTCGTTCATGTAGCAGCAGATGCTTTTATTCCAAATGAGAACAAATAGCAGAGATTCAATCCTGCAGATGCATGAGAAGTTCTGCCATACACAAACATTTACAGTTATGCTTTTTTTCAAAAGTGACTTGTTTATGCAATGTCATCAGTTCACTGCATAGTTCACTCTACAGTACACTTAATGCACTATTTAATGTAATAAATGCATGATTTTCGAAGGTGATGATTATGATACATGCATATGATTGGGAAGAGTCAACATTAGACACACAGGAGCAGATTCCACATGCAATTTAATTGGAGATGCTGATGAAATAGCCTCAGCAACACATGATGAATCCGATCATGTGAAACACAGATATGTGTGTGTGTGTGTGTGTGTGTGTGTGTGTGTGTGTGT